GTACTATTTAAAATATTTTTCATCTCTTTCCTTAACTTCTCTACATATTCAACTTCAGCATGTCATCCTGATTTCTGCTTTATCTAAATTTCAAAGCCCTCAGAACAGAACCCCTAAGAACTTCTACCATTCTATCTGTCCATGCATTTATCTTGGTGGGTGAACATTCCACGTAGTCTGCTGTTACGAGGGTGAACATTCTGTGCTCTAAGGTAGAACCAAGACCTTTATTTGTAGCGTAGGTCCCAACTTCTGTCACCTACTCAGGGACGTCTCCAGTAATTTTCCCGTCTATCTCCATTATCATTATTATTTTTTATTTCTCTGGTGATCATTTCATTAGTTTGCTTATAAAAGTTGGAACTGAATCCATTTTTCCTGTAGCTGCTGCCTCATTTTTATCCTTGTCTTTACAGAAAAATGTCTTTGGAAGAGTCCCTTTTCTTGTTGTCTTCATTTTCTTTCTTTCTTTTTTGAACAGCTTCTAATTAGGTTTTTACCCTGTTCAATGCAGTTGCTCTTGTGGAAATCACCTGTGTCCTCCATGTTTTTCCCCAGCAGACATTTCTCAGAACTCATCTCACTTGATTTACAAAGAGCATTTGACCAAATCAGTCACTCTTCTCTAGAAACCATTTTATACTTGGCATGTAAACTATCACATCACCTAGTTCTTTTTCTACCCTCCCAGCTACTCTTTCCCTAGTCTTTTCATTGATCCATTTTTTACTCAATCGTTTCTAAAGCTTAGAGTGGCTCAAGGCACAGTTTATTATTATTTGGATCTATTTTTTTTTCTGTTCCTACTTTCTATCAGCTGATGATCTCTAGAGATGGCTTTCAGCATCATCTTACTACTAATAGCTCTCAAATTTATATCTTTATTCTGATCAACTCTTTTGAATTGAGAACAACATATCTAACTGCCAACTTGGAATTTGTTCTGGAAAAAAATTAGGCTTGGAACTATGTCTACTTGGAATTCTAATGATAAGCATTTCAAAATTAATGTTAAAACCTAACCTCTACCTGGTTTCCCACAAGTACTCTATCCTTTGTCCTCATCTCCTTAATGACAGTTCTCTTTTCAGGTTCTAGAGCTCAATATCTCAGCATCATCCTGAATGCCTCCCTTCCTGTCCCACTCTATAATAGCAAACCCTGATGGCTCAACTTTTGAGTAAATTTACTAACTTTCTATATCCTGAACTCACCCACCTCTCATTACTCCCAGTGCTGGTCCAAGCATTCCACAATTGCTCAACTAATAATCAGTATCCAGTATCCCTTTTTAATCAGTATCCAGAGAGATGATGCAAAATATAAGTCAGATTATATCATTCCTCTTCCCAGTCAAGATGAAATTCTTATCATATGCAAAGTCCCATGTGATAAAACATACATTACCTCTCAGATACTTTCTGTCTCTGTCCTTTGTTTTCTATTTCTTACCAAATTTTGTTTTTTCACTTCTCCTCACACACTCTAAGGAAGCTGATGGTTTCTAAATCAAGGTGTCTCATTGAATATTACTCCTGCCTGACAAAGTTCCCCAGATAAGTTCTGAGGATGAATTCCCCCATTTTCTTCAAGTCTTTACTGAAAGTTACGTCTTCATGTGGTTCAATCTTTCCTTTCTCAACATTTTTGTCATCTACTTTATTCTTTTCTTTGTTGATCTAAAAACAAATTTATCATTTTTATTATCCTCTTTGCTTAAATGCTAGCTTCATGGGTATAGAAAGTATTGTTTTGTGCATGTATGTGTGTGGGGTGGTGGTGTTGGTTGTGTGTATATGTGCTGTTATTGACTTTTTATTATTTTTATTGTTGAATCTAGAACAGTTTCTGGAACATAGTGAGTACCCAATGAGTACCTTATTTGCTGAATAAGTCAATGCACAGATGAGGTAGAATTCTAATTTGGAACTATCCTGTTCCAAAATTTCAAACAATTTTGTTATTTAAATATTAATCAGCAATCAACTAAATAAATGCATTCAGTTCTGTGGTAGACACCCAGAGGCAAGCAGACAGAGTTTGTGTTCTTGCCAGAAAGTAGATAACATCAAGAGTAAATAGTAGAAGTTAGCAGACAATTAATTTCAATGGTGTCACACTGACTCCAAGTCATACGAAGGGGAAAATGGAGTTTCAAAGTGGTAGGGTTATTAACTGATTTAAGTGAGAGGTGACATTTATCCAGATTATGGAAACAAAGCATTACTTAGATTGGAAGAAAACTGGAGTCCTAACTGCTGAGAATGAATTAGGGTTGGAATTAGGGAACAAATTTTAATATTGCAGATGGTGTTCCAAGAAAATTGCAAGGGAATTTAGACTTTATGTAGTGGTAAATAGAGAGCCAGAATGTCCTCACAGACCCCAAAGCTCACTATGTAATCATGCTACCTGACTATTTACATTGGTAGAATCAAACACTTTGATGTTTTCCCATTTTTAAAAATATTTGTTGTTTTTAGATATACACCACAGTAGACTATATTTTGATATATTATACATACATGCAGTATAACTTACTCTAATTAGGATTTCATTCTTGTGGTTGTACATGATATGGCATTTCACTGGTTGTGTATTCATATATGAGCACAGGAAAGTTACGTCTTTTTCATTTTACAGTCTATGCTCATTCCTTCCCTTTCCATCATTTCCCTTTGTGTAGTCCAATGAACTTCTATTCTCCTCCTCCCCCTATTGTGTGTTAGTATCCATCTACCAAAGAAAACATTCAACCTTTGTTTTGGGGGGTTTGGATTATTTTACTTAGCATGATAATCTCCAGTTCTGTTTACTGGCAAATGGTAGTTTCATTCTTCTTTATGACTGAATAATATTTCATTGCATATATACCACATTTTCTTTATCCATTCATCTTTTGAAGGGCACCTACGTTTTTTTCCATAACTTAGCTATTGTGAATTGAGCTGCTATAAACATTGATGTGGCTTTGTCATTGTAGTATTCTGATTTTAAGTCTTTTGGGTATATACCAAGGAGTGGGATAACTGGGTCAAATGGTGGTTCCATTCCATGTTTTCTGAGGAATGTTCATGCTGCTTTCCAGAGTGGTTGCAGCAATTTGCAGTCCCACAAACAATGTGGGAGTGTACCTTTTCCCCACATCCTTTCCAATATTTATTGTTACTTGTATTCTTGATAATTGCTATTCTGATTGGAGTAATATAAAATCTTGATGTAGTTTTAATTTGCATTTCTCTAATTGCTAAAGATGTGAACTTTTTTATAGATTTTTGACCATTCGTATTTCTTCTTGTAAGAAGTACATGTCCAGTTCCTTTGCTCATTTATTGATTAGGTTATTTGTTTTTTGTTATTAAGTTTTTTGAGTTCTTTGTATATCCTGGATATTAATGTTCTATCTTAGGTGCAGATGACAAAGATTTTTTTAAAAGTTATATATATACCATGATTCTTTTTTAAAAGAAGTGCATCACTAATTGGACCTTTAGGCTATAACTTTATATTGTTAGTAAGCTTGATTTGTGCATTGTTCCTTATCTAGACACAACTTCTTTGGCATTTCTTATGTGGTTAGTGCTTCTAATAGAGTGCCTTTTGTATCATCTCTTGGATTTATTTCAGGCTTCTTCTTATTATCAAGATAAGATGAAAACTTTATTGTAAAAAAAGATGATAAAAACTTCTTTGTGTTCTTTCTATGACAAAATTATCAGTAGTTCTGGGAGTATTAATCTGAAAGTTAAGTCGAAATCATATCAAAAACAGTTGAAGAAAATGGATGCTCACTTACTTACAGAAGATGTTACTCTACTATATAGTAAAAAGAACTTTTATTTCTTAATGTTATTTGCTTAGTTTCCCATGTGTTCATAACCACCTATTACCTACTATTGACTTGTCTTTTCTTTGGTCTCAAAGAATAATGGAGGGACAGAACACTGACGGCAGTCATATCACACTCAAGGGGAAAGTAATAGCACTACTGATACAATGCTTATTGAATTCTGGAAATGTGACTAAAATTAATATCGATATACATAAGACTATTTACAACAAAAGCTAAGTGTTTCAAGAGGCCAGGCCAGCTCACATGATTTCCAAGTCTCATGCATTACTGCCAATATATACAATAAATGTCATAGTTTTTCATGTTTCAATGGGTCTGGAAAGAGAAAAAAGATTTAAGATGCGATCAATTGAAAACATCAAAATAAATAAATATGTGTTAGGAAAAAAATAAAGCAATCTTTCCAAAAATTCTGCATTTGATTGTAGGATAATGGATAAGTTGGATAGAATGAATGAAACTATTGAGTTGCATCCTGGGGAGGAGGATGTATGGACAAAAGAGGATTTGGCTGATGATAAAATTGAAATAGAAGCAGATAATAAAAAATTTCATGCAAAATGATGCAGGTTCTTGAAGGCTTAGGATAATGTTAGGAAATGGACATCACTACAGGCAGCATGTGGCTGTCAGGTCTTCCTGCGTGGACTGTCAGTTAAAATGCCACTTGTCATTTGCTGAAACTCCTACTTATTTCCTCACTGTACTTCAATTACTTAAGCCACCCAAAGTTACTTAAATGGTCTGTATTATTAAGCAACAGCTATAAAGTTTATTGGTTAATTATAATCAATATTAATAACAATGGTAGTAGTAATAAAGTTGAGTATAATTGCATAATATGTTCTAGAATCATGTCCATTTTCTTTATTTCCATATTTTTCTGAAGACAATGCAGGTTTCACACAATCTTCTTGAATTAATGCAACCATATTTCTCCTGGCTTAATGCTTACCTCTCCTCAAAGTGAATTCTTTTCAAAGTGATTTTTTTTTACTTTGTTTTTAAAAATGCACCAGGAACTTCTCATAATCCTTAGAATAAAGTGCAAAATCTTTTGAGGCTTACCTTACTTGTTCTAATGTGATCTTTTCTTTTTCTTTTTTTTTTTTTTAATGAAAAAGAGTCACAGGATCCTCAGAGTTCATGTCACATGGGTAATGTGTGGATGTCATAGCAAGGTTTAGAGGGAGGCACATCTCACATTAGTGCATGAACACCCAATCATCACACTCATGAGCTGAAGGGTCTAATGTGATCTTTTCAGCTTCATCTCTTGCCCCCAAGCATCTGTCTACCTACTCACAACTTCACTTTCTAGTTCCTTTCCTAACACACTTCCTTTAGTTCCCCGAACGTGTGATGCCTTCCTACTGATTTTCAAGGGGAGCCACAGCATAACTTCTCTGGACGTCTTTATAAGACCACCCCAATTTACCAGGTCACACATACCTGCACCTAAGGTAAATAAGTATTTTTCCCCTATCATGCATTCATCACATCATACATTAAATAATAATCACTGGTTTAATTAATTTCTTTTCTCTCCCTAGCCTGCAGTTCTTAACAATTTTCTGGTATCACAGACCTATTTAGCCTATTTAGCATTCAGATGAGGTCTTTTGTTCCCTTATTTAGAACAATGCTTTTAAGTGCATAAGATGAATTTCATAGGATTACGAAAAAAAGTAATTCAAAGTATCAAAAACTAAATTTATGATATCACAAGCTATTTGCTTTTTATTCATGCATTAAATAATAAAATCTAACGGCATATCAATAACAAGAAACTTAAAAATCAACATGAGCAAAATGGTATTTTTAGATATGTGCAACCCTACAATGACACATGAAATTATCTGTGATTTTTTTTAATGTTTGATGAGGTTACAGGTATTGCTAAAATTTCTGTGGTTTGTGACCTATATTCACAATTGATTTTTTTTTTTTTTAAATATCACACATTTACTTTGTCACAGGTCTCCTGGGCTGGGAGTCTGGGTGGGGCATAGCCATCTGTCTGCCCAGGGTGTCAAAGAGCCAGCCAGGATGCAATACCATCCAGAGGCTAGACTAAGGACACATCTACTTCCAAGCTCTCTCGTGCTGCTGTCAGGGTTCATTTCATTATTGCTGTCGGCTCTCTGGAAGCTTCTTCAAGGCCAGCAGTGGAGACAGGGAGAAGATGCTTCACTGGGTCTCTCACTTCTAGACCTTTGTAAAGAGTTTACCTGATGAGGTGAGGCCCACCCAGGATAGTCTCTCTTTTGAGATCAGGTGCATTCAGGGTAGTATGGCCATAGTCATAGTCTCCCTTTTGAATAACTTAAAGTCAGGGGCATTAATTATTGTGTGCAAAATACTTTCACCTTTGCCATATTTTAAAAGCAAGTCACAAGTCCTTCCCTCTCAAGGGGAGGAGATTACATAAAGGCAGGGATCTTTGGGGGTCACCTTAGAATTCTGCCTGTCACAACCACACAGTTCCAGACTTCTCTGATTCACAGACTAGGTTAGTTTTGCCTACCATGTGCTCTCAGAGAAATCTCTCTACCATTCTTAGTGTGTGGTCAACCATGTGTGAGTGCAATCATTTACCTGACTGACCCAACTAGACTGTGGGGTCACAGTCTATTTTCAAGTTCTATCCATTTTCCTGTGAATGACATAAATTCATCCCTCTTTATGAAGTACGGGATTCATTCCTGTCTGATTTTTCCACTGTGTCTTTTGTGACTATCATGTGCCTATCGTGTGTTCTTAAAATTCTAGTTACATGTTAAGAAAGATAAAAGAGGTAATTAAAAGGTAAATGTTTTTCCTATATGAGTTACAACTCCCCTAACCTATTTTAGGTTAAAACCTTGGTACTAGAACATTTACACTACAAGGAGAGGTACCAGATCTGTCTTGTTTATCTTTGAGGCCCTATTTGTTACTAAATAGCCATACTAAAAAACACCTGCATCAGCTTCTATTCTAGATGCTGGAGGTAGAGCTACACATAGGGCAAAACCCCATATCATGGGGCTTTGATTCTCATGGGAAAGGAAAGTTTTCCTTAGCATATCAAAGACACCCATACTGTTTATGAACTTGAGTGCTTCTCTTCTGCTTTGTCTTCTAAGATCAGTAAGTGCCTATAAATATATACTGTCATAGTTTTTAATCAACTACAGAATTTCTGAATTAATTGGCTAACAGAGCATTTGAAAAAATGCACACTGTCATAACTGTTGGCTACATTTAGGGATCCTGGACATAAAGAGTTTAAGTCCTACATCTCTGTGCCCTGATTCACATATTCTCCCTATTTTAAGTGCCTACTGCTCTGGTTACCTACTACCTTTTCTAGCTTCACATATCACTTACTCTGGGGAGAGTTCTTTCGATTCTTTCCACATGTCTTCACCATTCTGATTAGTATCCTTTTCTGGTGTTCAAACAGCAGGTTGATCAAATGTCAGGGACATTCGACTACTGAGCCACATCCCCAGTCCTATTTTGTAGTTTTTTTTATTTAGAGACATGGTCTCATTGAGTTGCTTAGTGCCTCGCCGTTGCTGAGGTTGGCTTTGAACTTGCAATCCTCCTGTCTCAGCCTCCCAAGCAGTGTGCTACTGCACCTGGCCAAATGTCTATTTTTGAACACTTTACAAACAGGAATGAAATTATCTGCCTATGTATTCGTGTCCCCATTTTGCTTCCCTCAGACTCCATGATCCTGCGTCTGCTAAAGCTATAAGGCCCTTGACAAAGCAGAGCTATTGCTCCACCCTCTGAAAAGCTGCAACCAAAATTTTACGTGGAGAACAATTTCACAGGAGGCTTTCTAATTTGAGAACATCCTTTCTTGCTTTATTAAGAAAGGTTTAAAAGTCCATTTTCAGAGGGGTAGAAGAGTCCTTCATTTAATGATCTCAAAACCTTCTAAACTTGACAAAATGTGTACATTTTGAACATCCTGATGTGGGATTCTATGGGACTGTCTCTTTGATAGAGTAGGAGGCAGACCATTCACAATGCTTTGTCTGATCCAGGACTCCAAGGAGTGGTTGCCCAGTACACTTACCATCCCTGGGAAATAGTATAGTACCCAGCACAAGGTGGTTCTCTATAAATGTCTCCTCCACAGAACCAAGGTGTATTTAATAGGATAATGAAATTTATTAGCTTGCTAGCAGAAGAATCTGTTTTTCTGGCAAAATGTGTGCTTTTCCTAAATATGAGAATAAAGGAAACTTTGAGTATATGATACGACTTTACATGTATTGCTTTAAGTTTCAATGATTCAGTTTCTGAGTCGACAAGTAGGCTAATAAACAACATATCTGTATGTTGAACAAACTCTGGTTGGCAAACTTTTATAGACCAGATAAAGGCCCAGATTCAGTATTAAATATCAATTTAGTGTCCATCTCCTGATTTAGACTATAAACCAGTTGAAGAGCAGGTCTAAACTCATTAAATGACATTTATTGATCTGAACACTTTAGATAAAAATCTCAGTTAAAATTTAAAATTAAGCCAATAGATGCAAGAATAATGGTTATGTATAGTGACTAAGTGCCTTTCCTTTTATTGATAATTATTGGAAGAAATAAGAAAATATTTTCAGATATTTTATAAATATATGTTATTAATTTGAAAAACTCACATCTCCAATGTAGAGATAATGCATGCAAAAATTGTTGGGGAGATTGAACATGTATTAGGGTTATGATTAAGCACTTTCCATATGAAAAGGATCTAATTTACTCTTGACAAGAAGTTTCTTGAAGGAATGATGCTTTTTATGACATACACACCCCCAAATTGTAATTGTAAGGTGGGAAGATTTTGTTACCACTTTTAATGTCTAAAACTTATTCTCTCCCAGGAACTTTCTTGCATAAATTTATGCAAAATAAATTGCATATCTGACTAAAGCCACACCTCTTGCAAATTACTTTTTATATTTGAGCATACTTAAAATACTTCCTAAATAATTTAAGTCTTAGCTCTTGATGTTGGTTTATTTCTTGTTGCACTTTATGTCTACTTTATCATACTCGACAGCCTGGGTTTGACTTCTATCCTACAAACTTAATAGTCAGATGCAATCCAGAATTAGTTTATTTCTGCTTTTCACATGAGAATATCCAAATATAATTGCACTCTTTCACATTCCTGAAATGTTTTCCAAATGTTTTTAACATGCAAAATTTATAAGTAATATTTAAAAAGTGTTCTGTTACCTAAGGGAAAGTGATGTTACTGTTTATATTTTCATTTCAGCCAACATTAAATCAGTTCTGTCTGAACTCCTGTCACGTCTTATGTACCCTCAGAATCTCTCCAGCTCTCTCTGGCTCCTATTGGTCATTCTTGGATAAATACTTAATTATTAAGTTTTATAACTGATGACATTACCCAAATGCAAATCACTTTGCCATTAAGTTTCTAATATTAAATTCAAATGAATATTTAACTGACAGCAAAATTCATACTATTATGATGTCTTTGGACACCTGGATGTATCATCTTCCAGTACTGTCTATGATGACAGAGTCTTCTGTGAGCTGAGCCAGGTCATTCCATTTGGATAGTTGAAAGGGCCACTGAGTGATTAATATTGTGCTGAACACATTTTTTGTGCAGTTATATGCTCCAAGTAGTTAAGAAGACTACATGTGACTAAATCTTGGCCCTTTGGGGCATATTCAGTAATTGCTAAAGAGAAACAATCAAGGAGAATTCAGGAGTGAGATGGAGGTAGTCTTCTCTACAATGAATATGGAAGACCCACATGCATATGTCTAGATATTTTAACCTTTAAAATTATATTTGAAATAATTTCCATGTCCTCTACATGAGGACACACTGAAATATGCAGCAAAGTATACATTAAATACAAAATCATTGATTTTTGAGAACAATGCACAAAGCAGACTGCCTTTGAACCTGTTAATAGTGATAGAAATTCAAACACATATCAAAATCACTTCTCTTTATCACTGAGGAAATAACTTTGGTGATTATCTTTGAATCTTTTTAAGCTGCACTATAATTCATAAATCTTTTTTTTTTTTGTTGTTGTTGTTATTTTAAGCTCTGACCAAACAGCTTCTGATATCTCCTACATTAAATGAGCCAGCTTAGGGGAAAGAAAAACAAAATAAAACAATCCTCAGACATGATCAGCAAGAAGGCCATCTGGGCTTGAAGCTCCCTCAGCACTTTCAGGGATGGATCAGTTGAGCTCATCAT